ATTTTATCTTATTTTATTTCAAATACATAAGCCTTCGTTTACAAGTCGTTCAGTTCAAACACTTCACCTCCGAGCTCTGCGAATATACTTCTCAACACTGTAGTTTACCATGGTCCTGCTGCTTCCAGATTTCTTCTATTCATGCACACCAATTGCTCAATGAGCCGAAAACCAAACACAATTTTTCTACACTTCCTTGTCCACAAAAACTACGTGTGTGTACCATGACGCAGTAGAAGTCTATTTTTCTTGCTCCAGCTTTTTGGCAACTCTCTATGCTTATCATGGCTCTTTGCTCCAAATATGAAATACTAGATAACTCGCCCATCGCATGCGAGTTTGTATGCAAGCTGCCTGAATGGTACACATGTACTTTTTGTACGTGTCACGATTGGCATCGAAGTAATATATTACACTTGAGAGTTCAATGCCCACTTCATTTTGCACTACCGAAGGGTAAATACAAAGGAGCCAATGAGCCAACGCGTGAGCGGACATCAGCGGAAAAGGGGATACTTATTTCCGGCAGTTTGTTGGCGCAGAATTTTTGTTACTTTTTAGCTTTCACAAACAACTTGTGTCTTGAGATTTGCTTTACTTTTTCAGCTGTCAATTCGGCGCACTCTAAAGTAGTAATTCGACTTTTTTTCGATAGTTTTTGCATTGTTGGTTTATTAGAAGCTTATGAATACAAATATTGTTTGTTTTTCTAGTGCAGGTAGGTGTACGATTAAAAAGACGACGCAAATACTGGGGCCAATAGCAGTTCTTCTTGTATTTTAGCTGAAGGCGTCTTTGGACTGTTGAAATTTCTATGCAGAGGAATCTGAGCTATAAAAGGAAAGCAATAAAAATAAATCAAATATTTTTATCTCAATGTAGTCTGCTCTTAACTCAGTGCTCCGACTTTCAGTAAATTTTTCATTGTCTCTAAGCCTTCTTTATAAAAGTAGGTCTCAAGTTTTTGGCGGGTTTCAAACCCAGCACACAACCCTGGGGAGGGATGATTCGTCTTCTCTCAGAGGATTTTGGGTCTAAGACCGGAAGTCGTTTGCTGCT